TTTTCAAAAATTGCCTTAGCTATTGTTTTAGCGCTTTTGTCTTGTATTGGTATTGTTACTAAGTAATTAGTCAGGTCACATATCATTGTTATGGCATATTCGTTTCCATAAATTGATTTAGGGAACGGACTAATGGTATCAATATATACAGTATCAAAAACTCCTGTTGGGGTGGGAGTTAATACTATGGACCTTTCAAATGTTTGTTTGTTTTTGTTGTTTGACACGTGTGGCATGTTTTGACATATTTCGTAATGTCTTTTGTCATATTTTGCCAATAGTAATATCGTTTTACTTTCTGTATTGTCCTGAAAGTTCCGCCGTGACCACCTTCAATGGGGTCATCGTGATATTTACTTATAATGTTTTGAATAGTTTTAGCATCTTTGTAATCAATGTGGGTCACCTCATTTAGTAGCGCTACTTTAATATTAATCAATTTCTTATTGCCCATATTTTTGAATTCATTAATTGAGATAAATCCGAAAATTTTCCCACTAGGTGCCACTTGTAAGTTATCAATGCCGTGTTTACAGGCCACTTCTTCGAGCCTCGGGAGGAACTTACCTAAGTCAAGTTTCCCATTATTAAACAAGTCATTGATTTGTATATATGCAATTATAGATTTTCCACGTTTGATATAGCATCTCACGGGAGAAATCTTTAATTTACAATATTTCCTGACGTCAGTGTTATTTAAAGGAACATATATACGGGGCTTTTCAATTATATTTGATTCATGCTGCTTATTCAAAGTATTACTATTATTTATGTCTTTGTTTTTTCGTGTCATGGATCTTGTAGTTATTTTGAGTACTTGTGTTGATTTTATATTCATGTCTTTGAGATCATGGGTTGTTATTCGCGATAGAGCGTCTGCAACGTAATTATCTTTTTCCCTAAGATATTCGACTGTAAAGTTATATTCCTCTAGGTCAAGTCTCATTCTAGTTAGTTTTGAACTTGGGTTCCGCATTGAAAATAGATATGATAGAGGTCTGTGATCCGTACGAACGAGTAATTGTTCTCCGTATACGTATGGTCTAAAATGTGTTATAGCCCAATGAATTGCTGTTAATTCTTGTTCAATGGTTGATTTGTTGCTTTCGCCTTTTGTAAACGTTTTAGAAGCATAGGCGACTGGTAGATGTTTTCCTTCGTGTTCCTGAGTCAAAACTGCGCCGCAAGCGTGCTTGCTTGCATCGGTGGTTATACAAAACTGTTTTTTAAAATCTGGATATTGCAGTAATGTTGGACTCATTAATGCTTTTTTCAAATAATTAAATGCTATATCGCAACCTTTGGTCCATTCGAACTGTACATCCTTGGGTCCGGCCCGCAAAATGGCGGCCACCTACATATATATAAAAAAAAAAGAATTTGGAAACAAAATGTAACAAAAAAATATAAAACGTACAAAAAAAAAAATTAAAAAAAAACAAAAAAAAAGTGAAGTAAATAAGTTGAAATAAAATTTGTTGGTGGTAGTTGCAACCATGGTACAAGTATTTAAAGAAAAAAAATCTTTACAAAAATTACAAAAAAAAAAACTCAAAAACTGACAACGCGCATAAATGCATATATATGCGCATTAGGGCGGGTCGAAAATCTAATTTTTCTCAAATCCCTTGGTAATAGTGAAAATATATTGTATCATGAAGTCAACAACAAGCCTGCGAAATATTACTCTTTCATTTTAATTGTAAGAGCCCGCGCATCGACCGCCAAGTGACCCACAGCACACTAGTCGAATAAGACCAATTCTTGTTAAAAATTCTGGGTTTAGCCAAAACTTTTGGTGCATATTATTAGATAATGAATCCTTTAACGCAAAAGATAAAGTCAAGTATCATTTCGCGTAGCCGTTTATCTTATCGTTAATCTCAAACTCATCCTTTTTCAAGAAAATTTTAATTGTTCTCTTGATAATTGCATTGGCCTATAGTCAAAAGATGTAAAGAACAACATTAATATTGCTGGCGTGCATTTAGATCGCTAGTTCCAAATATTCTAATCCTTTTTTAATATTAGCTATAGTTTGCGATTTTTTGCAAATTTAGGAACAATTTCGGTAGCTCTAATAGAATAGCCATTATTTTCCATCATCGCGGAAAAATTTTGTTTATGCAAATTAGTATGGAAACACTGAACAGGCACAACTTCTAGACACACTAACTGGTTTACTTATGTTTATGCATACAATATAAAAATAGCAATATCGTCCAATTGGAGAGTCCTCAAAAGGATTTCCCAGGATATGTTGAAAACTATTGCATTTACCTACAGACACTTTTTCACATAATGGAATTAACTAAAATATTTATGTATATCTAAACACTTATTGCACGTCCCCTACTTTCATATAACGGCAAATTTAGAAACCGCGAAAAATGTGCTTCTGCGGCGACTAATGAAACCATTCCGCACCAGTTTTCAAGACTGCAAAAATGGACTTAAAATAGGCGTTTCTCAACCTAATTGTAATGTATTTAAATACTTATATGTTTGAAACTACTATTAACTTGTCGAACGATTCCTAATCTTTGACAATACATTCATTCACCGCGATCTTGAAAACTGACCAAATCGGCGTGACCAGTCCATGGTCATTTTAATATTATATAAACATTAAAAGGTTTGAAATAAATCTCGTCCAACTTTTTTGTATTTTTCACTTGGTTGCTGAAGTAATGAAGAATTGAAAATTCATATGGGAAAATCATAGTTTTCTTATTTTTTATTCTAATATCTTAAAATCGTGTAGACTTATTGAAAAATGATAAATGAACGTGAGGTTCTAAATTTAATAGCCCTTAATTTGATATATCGTCCTGTTTATAACAATAACGCATTCCATAGATATTACAAGCCAAAGTGCTAAAGATAAGTTTTAAATTAATCTTTCTAGCCAATAACAATTGGCTGAGACCTAAGACATCATAATATTACTATTACAATGCGGTCAAATGACTTTTATTTTCCCCCATACAAAATCGACCCAGCCTAATGCGCAAACATATGTGGCGGTTACAAACAGATACAAAAAAAATTTGAATTAAAAATATAAAGTGGTGGCGGTGCAGAATATTGACAAATTAAACACTTGAGAATTAAACAAGAAATAAAACAAAATACCTGAATACAAAACAGGAAAAATACGTAAACGGTTATATAAAAAAAAAAATAAAAAAATAGTACAAAAAAATACCATAAAAGCGGTGGTACCAAAATTTTTAATACTTTATAAAACAAAATTGGCTTAAGAACGGAAAACTTGAAATTAAAACAAGAAAAAAATCAAAAAAAGCTGTGGTCCCAAATTTGAACAAAAAATAAATAAATAAAAAGCCTAAAATCTGAACTATGAAAACGCGAAAGTGCTGTACATACCACAGTTAGTGTTCTTAATAACGCGTCGTACATCCGTTGTATAATGGCACACAAACCACGCCATCTACCAACCGCAGCTGTACCCTTAAACACGCCATGCAACCGTTGTATAACGGCATACGCACAACGTCAGAAAGAAGCGTCGCTAAGCCTTGGCGCGACGCAAGACAGCACATCATTTTAGTACAGACTGCAGCGGGGGACAATCAGCGAAGAAAACAAGCAACAACAACAGCGAGTAGCAGTTTGGGTATGATGCACTATGTGCGAAACACCACTACATCTTTTTCTTAAATTCAGAACAAAAATTTTCGTAAATGTTTCAAATAATTTTCATTATATTCATTCAAATTTTTGCTAAACCTTTTTCTATTTATTCTATGTTACTGTTTTTTCTTCTGGAATTTCAGCTTCAGTGGTACAGTGATGTACAAATATTAATTTTTTTTAAAACATAACTCTTCAACAATTTAAAGTTTTCACTATAATTTTTCTTCGATACTGTACAACATTAGGCAATAGGCAGATTTTGGAATTTTTATTAGTTTTTCTTTTTTTTAAATATTTGGAAAAAATTTGATACGACTCTTCGCCTGTGCCATTGCCGTGCTTTTATACTACAACTTTTAGAATTTCGTTTGAAATATGGTAAAATATTTCAACGATTATAATTATCAATTAACGTTTTCCTCAGTTTTCTATGCCGTGGTAGCCAAACTTCAAATATTACAACTTTATTCAAATAATTTTTTTTTTCAATAATACAATAGTTCGATAGTTTGTATAGATCTTTTGCTTTGCGTGTGTGCCAGATGTCAGATGTTGAACTTGTGTTCAAAGATTTTCAAGCAAAATTTTCAAAAGTTACCAAGCGTGTTCTTCATAGCCGTCCACTTTCAACAAATCTGGAAAAAGTTGACGAATATAAAAAATCTTTAATCGAAACTTACAACGATATTTTAATTCAAGTGAAAAATTCGGAACAACAAGGAAACAAGCCAGCCTCTATAATTAAAAGTCTACCGCGGTGCAGAGAAAAACTACTTCAGTGTTTTAAAAAAATTGGGTGTAAAGTTTTAGAAGATTTTACAGTTCTTATAAAATAAGATATTTTAAAGTAGTGAAGTAGATTCCGATGACGACTTTGCTGACGCTTGTTCAGCTGGCACACCAGAAGTTTCCACCGTTAAAAAAAGTTGTTCCTTGCCTTCATTTAAAGATTTTTTACAAATTGAAGAAACGCCTTGCGTTACGATTCGTTCACCGAATATAAATTTTACCGAAT